AGAAATAGACACACATAAATATAGTCAACCGACCTTTCAAAAAAAGAAAGGCAATACAATGGTTCAAAGAGTCTTTTCAACAATGAGCACTGGAACACCTACATGCAAAAACAAAAACAAATCCAGGTACAGATCTTACACCATTCACAAAAGCCAAATCAAAGGGATCATGGACTTAGATGTAAAAACACAAAACAATATACCTCCTAGAAGACAAAACATCCAGATGACCTTGGGCATCATGATTACTTTTTAGATACAACGCAAAAAGCATAATCCATGAAAGAAATAATTGATAAATTAGACATAATTATTATTATTTTTTTTGCTCGGTGAAAGACACCGTGAAGAGAATGTGAAGATAAGCCACAGATTGATAGAAACTATTTGCAAAAGACATCTCCGATAAAGGACTGTTAATCCAAAACACACGAATAATTCTTAAGACTCAATAAAAAGAAGAAGAATAACCCAATTAAAACATGAATAAAAGATCTGAGCAGACATCTCACCAAAGAAGATATACCAACGGCAAATAAGTATATGATAATATGCTCAATAGCATATGTCATTGGGGAACTGCAAATTAGACAAGAATAGGATACTACTACACACCAATTAGAATTGGTGAAAATCCAAAATACTGACCACACCAAATGCTGATGAGGATGCAGAGCAACAGGAACTCTCATTCATTGCTGGTGGAAATGCAAAGTGGTACAGCTATTGTAAGGTCGGCGGAGAGAAAGGACCAGTAGGCTCAAAGTCAGGCAAGCAAGTTTGTTGACCTGCCGGCTTGCTCCATAACCCTCAGAGGAGGCAGCCCAGAGTGTTTAAGGTGAGGGGCTTATATAGGGATTTGAGGGCCTAGGGGCTTTCTGAGGTTAGTCTACATCCTGCAGTTGTTTGTCACTTCTTGCCCCACCTGGCTTAGAGTACCAGGATGTGGTTTGGCCTGGGGGTGGATACAGCTGTACCTAAATTCTGAGAACTTGGGGCGGAGCCGGCATCTCGGAAGATATCAGGGTATTTAGGGGAGGGGGCTTGCTGCTTTCTTCTGGGAGCAGGTTGTCTCTGACAGCTACTTTGGAAGACGGTTTGGTCGTTTTTCACAAAATTAAACATTCTTTTACCATGCAAGTTTACTTATAGTTTAACTTTGAAACAAAGATTGTAACAGTCCTTTCCCAAAACACACCTCCTTACTGCCTGTGGACTAGACTACCTAGACTGCCGCAAGATTAGAAATTATGGTAATTTTGCTAAATAATTCAAGATGTAGCTATTTTCATTAAACCAATATCAATGTCTTATTTATTAGTGATTACAGGAGCAGAGGTCATTCTGTCTTGGGCTGGGTTTATAGTTTTGTAACCTCTGTGCCAAATTTTGACACCTTATAGTATTTGGTAGGGTTAAGTATGAAATTTCTTGATTAATAAATGCAAATAAAAATGTATGCTGGCGATTCTTAAGACATTTCTAATATTACTTTACCAGTAATTTTAAAGCTAGCTTATTTATTAAAGATTTTACTTATCAGATAACTTGAAAAAGCATTTGACCAGTCTTTCCTTTTTCTAATAAAGTACTTGATGTAAATGCTTTTATTTTTTAAGACCATTAATTAGAGCTCTTTTATATATTTTCAGGAGTGCAACATTGTGTACACAACATATAAATACATAGATGTATTAGGCATGTTGATAGAAGAAGTACATCTTACAGATTCATAAAAATGCTTTTTTTCTTTATCTTAGGCGTTCAGATTCCTGATAACCTGTTTCACAACCCTAGGCAGTTGTCAGCTAAATAGTCTTAAATTTGCATATTAAAGGAAACAATTCAAGTGAAAGTCAGATAGCAAAATTTACATTATAAGGTCTGAAGAGAAATTCTGGTGAGCTGGAGGGAAATTAAAACAGATTTAATTGCTAATTTAACATAAAAATATAGAAATTTATCATTGGATTATATAAGGAGATCAATTTTATTTAGATCGGGATTACCAATTCTTTTTTAACTGGATCTCTGAGCTCTGGGAACAGCCCACACTGAATCCTGGGTATCCAAAAAGGGAGAATTATTACAAGGCTAGACCACATGATGCTTTTACAGTGCACTTAAAATGTTTTTTTAAACAAAGCATTTCTAAGTGTCTAAACTATACTCTTTCTTAAAAACCCAAGAGTAGCCTCTGTTGCAGTAACTATTTGAGTAAAAAAAAATCGGGTGGCCGGGCACTGTAACTCACGCCTGTAATCCCAGCCCTTTGGGAGGCAGAGGCAGGCGGATCACGAGGTCAGGAGATCAAGGACCATCCTGGCTAACAGGGTGATACCCCGTCTCTACTAAAAATACAAAAAATCAGCCGGGCATGGTGGCACACACCTGTAGTCCCAGCTACTCGGAAGGCTGAGACAGGAGAATCGCTTGGACCC